TAATTAATATACTATATATATATATATATATATATATATATATATATATATATATATATACCTTTTCTTTAAGTGTATCGAATTTTTCCTTAATTACTTCTGAACCTTTGCTGGCTTCAGATTCGACAGCCTGAAACTTTTGTCGTGCTGTTCGCAGTGCCTCTGATTGCTCCAATTTTTGAGCTTCTTCCCTAAACTTTTTTAACGACTCTTTCATTTCTTTATTTTTTTGCATCTCTTGTTTGATATTCTCGACAAATTGAGACAAAAAGCTTGGCCGTCGTGATGGATTTGAATACAGTCGAATCTGTAAAAGTATCATTGCTTACAGTCAATGTTATTTACTTTCATATCAAAAAATTTACCGATTGTATTTGTGCACCGAGCAATTCCACCGATGTTGGTGGAAGCATAGGCGACAGAATACGTTCTCTTGAGCCATTTCTTAAGTTTCTTGTTGGTCGCACCAATCTCGTAGCTCCTTTTAGATTTGCTCTACAAGTTGCGACGTTCTGAAACTATTTCAGCATCAATTACAATTCTTAATCTATATCAACGAGACAATTGTCGAGCAATTTTAGCAAGTGTATGTAAATTTTATACTTTATTAGTAATAACTTTATTTAACATTACGCTAAACCATTCCTATCAAAGAAACATGAATCGTTTGATAGAGTACGTTTTATCGTTAGTATTGTTAATTAAATAACTATAAATAAAGTTAACGCCTTTCTGCAAGTGAAGAAAGTTCCGCGAACTACTAAAAGTCGTTTCAGTAATCGCGCAATATCTCGTAATCGTACGAAAGAGCCTTAAAAATGAAAGTTGTCAAAGAAAAAATAACCTTCACGTCGATGGCAAGGACACCGGTTTTTGCGAATAAGACCGTGAATTTGAATATGACCGTGGAATAATGCAAGTACAACATTACATTCGCGAAATTACATCATTGAATGACTTTGGTTTAGTTAGCAATTCAATTTATTTACCATTTTACAAAAGATTTGTCCTTAACGAAAAGTCCTCGTGAATATGCTGATGCTGACGAAACAGGCGATCGCGTTGCACTCTATCGGAAATGATAAATTACCTTGAAAGTTAGGTTAGAGCTTCCAGTTGGATTGTCCGTACTGCTCTCCCTAGAAGAAACAATATTGCCAATACAAAAGCAATCTAAATCTAAAAGTATGATCCAATCTGCGCAAAGCGTTGAATTTTTTTCTAGCATTTTCTACGCAGGATCTTCTAAAGTGAGATAAACATATGCATGACGTTGGTGGAAGAGACATAAAAAATCTATGATTGCAGGAAGGACAAGCAGTGCGAACAAACTTAATTTAATCGGCTATTAACTTATAGAGTAATATATCTATATTATTTTGTTAATATAGGGCGAAATCGTCATCGTTGTTATTATAGCAAATGGACGAAAAAAAAATCGTTAAATGAAGGATAATGAATTGTTATGTCAAGTTTTACTTGCAGAGATTACTCGCTGCGATTTTGCCGAATGAATTGATTTTAGTACAAAATAAAGAGAACACAGATAAAAAGGATAGGTGTAGTTTTTTAAATCGTAAAAGGGAATGATAAAAACTATATTATTTGATACACATCTTACTTTTATGTAGAACAGAACATATAAGAAGATGGTGCGCGTGGCGGTATAACAGATAGAAAAGATTAGAGCGAAGGAGAAGGAGAGAAAGAATACAAGAAAGGAACCGTTCGCTTTGTTGAAGAGAGAGGATTTCAGAGACTCGTGTGCGAATTTCCGAGTTGAACGCAACAAAGGAGAGGGACAGGGGCGGAAGGGAGAGGAAAAAGTTTGAAAGGAGGGGAAGTTTCGCGAGAAGGGTACGGCGGTGGAATTGGAACGAGGGGAAACAACGAATCATGCGCAACGATAAAATAGTAGTGGTGACCGAACAGCGAGGAAGCGGTATATCATATATACATATACGTGTATGATACGTGAGTATATCGTATATACGAAGCAACGGCACGCCGAAGCAAGCTAAGCCGCACGTTACACCGCGCTACGCGAAGCGAGGACTCGCCGTGACGGCGTGTGTTACATCTTCGCGGTGTTTCCACGCGTGAGGTGAAGGAAGAGCGGAAGAGCAGCGAGTGCGTTGCCGTCATCGTCGCCGTTGCCGAGCGGAATCGCGCGAAGCGGCGAGTTTGACGATCCTCCTCCTCCTCATCATCGTCACCGTCACCGTCATCGTCATCGTCATCGTTGTGTCGTGATCGTGATCGTGATCGTGACTTGTCGTGCCTTGTGTCTTGTCATTGTCGCCGTCGGTGCCGAGAAGCGGGCTCGGGCTGGAGAATGGCGTCGGACGAGGAGGTGGACGAGAGCTACGCAGGTAAGTGCGAAAGAAGGATAGAAGTACGCGGAGTGGACGAGAGGAAGGGAGACCGCGAAAGATATACAGATAGATGGAGAATGACAAAGAGATTATGAGAGCGCGATGTGTACCGGGATGATCGCGGCATGAGCCTCGTTCGGCATGTAACGCGGGACGCGCGCTTTTCAGCCGCGTCAATGGCTGCCATATCAATCGCGATATATCGCAATCCGCGTTGCCGCCGACGACCACTACGACGCCGACGGACTCGGCATTTCTCGGAGTAGCGTCCTCACTCGGCGCGAGTCAGGAACTCGTGTTTCTCTAACCTTCAGATTGTCAAACACGTTCGGCGATCGACGCCGGAGACTAAATCGTCGCACGTATGAGAGAAAGAGAGAATGATAGGTTACCCTTTGCAGGAGGAAATAATATAAAAAAAAAAAAAAATAGCACACATGGTGCACGTTTGGTCTCGCTCTCTTCCCTCGCGTGTCGCTCAAAGTGTCAATTTTCATGTCCACTTGGCGTGTTCTTTTCTTTTCAAAGAAAAATATAATTGGAATTTTAATTGATTCATGGAGAGAGAGGGGATTGAGAGGAGAAGAACGATACACGACGATAAAGTGCATCTTTGGTCTCTAATCGCCAACATTTATATCTATTTTTCTCTCGAAACTCGATTTCCAATTTATCGCGCATCTCGCTGAAAAACCCAGACATCATGCTTGTATAACTGTAATTACAATATTCATAGATGAGTTACGAAGTTATAAAAATCGAATGCAACCATGGACGTCGATTTGCAAATCTAACATGGTTGCATCGTCGTTTGCCGTTCAGCCCGTGTCATACTCGTGGTAATAACTAACTTCGCGCCTATCTCCGTCTCTGTCCTATGCCCGCGATTCAGTGATGAAAACGCCGTTAATGTTGACGGGGGCTCCGCGTCGTTCGCGAACGAGTTCTTATTTCTTTTTCTCTTCTTCTGTCCCCCTCTCCCCGTTGGAATCTGCGAACAATTCCCGATTGACTAATTGCATTTGCGTCATGTTACAACGCGAAGGAAGGAAAAAAAAGAGAAAAATGAAGTTATGGATCCGCGTTTATGTATGTATGTATGATGTATGTATAGTATGTATGTGTATGTATGTATATGTATGTATATGTATGTATGTATATGTATGTATGTGTATGTATGTATGTGTATGTATGTATGTATGTATGTATGATGTATGTATATATGTACGTGCGTCGTGTGCGACTATATATATTCACGCAGGTAGACACGCACTCGCGCGACTCAACCGGCGTTTAACCTCCACCACCACCACTACGGC